TTTTTTTTTTATAGAAGTCTCAATAGCTTCTCTCATTAAAATTCGACAATTTGTCATTTTTAAGTTGTTCTAAGAGTGGAAGAGCGACCTGAAGGGTATCACTATTGTTCTAATTTCTAATTCACACTTAAACTTCAATCCCTCAGCATAAAGTTCGTGTTTGAGTTCCATTTTTATGTCTTGCTTCATCCAAAGCCCTACTTGCTGTATTGCCCATCTCGAAATATCTGCATAAAAATAAATGTGTCTCAACTTGTATTGCTTAGAAATAAAAGAGTAACAATTGTTATTCTTACTTACAAAAACTACATTTTTTTAAGATTACTACCCACAATATTATACTGAAATCTAGCGAGTAATCTTCTATCCAGTACGGTTACATAATCGTGTGATCAGTATTACGAGTTTGCTAATTGAAATCCGAATAAAGTAATATTTGATTTAATTATAATGCAATATGTTTTATTGGTTTATTGGGACACAAAACATCGAAAGTATACCTTTGTCGTTCTAGGCCTATAAAAAATAAAGCGAACATTAGTTAATATTCTTTAAATAAGAATAAAAAAAAATTTCAAGTTTTTACCTTCGAAAAAGCTGTGAACCTACAAAAAGAAAAAATCAAATGTTAGTCAACATTTCGCTTAAATAAAAACAAAAAATAAATTAATTTTGAAGAAATACCTTCAAAATTCTGTCCAAAAGAGTTCAGGAGAGACGAAAACCTAAAAAAAAAAAGAAAATTGAAACGTTAGTAATGTTCCACTAAAATAAAAATAAAATAAAAAATTGGAAGATCAGAATGAATACACGACTTAAGCTTTCTGAACCTAAAAAAAGAAAATTAAGCGTTAATAACATTTCAATAAAATAAAAACAAAAAAAGGAAGGAACAATTTCAAAGTTTTTTTACTTTCAAAATGGGAATCCAGAACCTGTTTCTTCCTGCACCTACAATAAATAAATAATTAAATAAATATACTTTTTGAAGTTTAACTTCAAAAAATAGCAGCAGTGGAGTCCAGTTCTTACAAAAAAGATAAAAAATAAAATGTTAGTACGTTTCATTAATAAAATATATATAAAAAAATCTTTAAAGTTTTACTATGAAGTAGGCATCTACAAAATAAATAAATGAAGACGTTAGCTAAATGTTTTGTTTAAAAAAAAGAAAGTTTTGAAGGTTACCTTCTAATTCCAGTAAATACAAAAGAAAAAAACCAGTCATTTCATTTACGTTCCATTTTAAGAGAAAAAAAAAATTTTTGAAGAAAAAATTTAATAAAGGATTTGAAAAGTTTGTTTTAGGGATTGGAATCGATTTCCATAATTAGAATCGATTTTAGAATCGACTAATCGCGATTAATCGTTTCTTAAATTTCGACAGGAAAATTTCAAATGATCACAAATTTAACATATAAATCATTTATGATTTTGCATTTAAAATAAAACGTTTATTGCACGAATAGCACGAATAATCAGTGATCAGCGGTAACTCTGGCCAAGCTTATAATTCCGGCCAGAATTAAAACTTTATTTTTATTTTTATTTTTATTTTTAAATTCCATGTGAACAAAGTCACGATACAAATTACAGGGACGAACTATACGTAAGCCTAAAGTAATTCTAAATTAAATCGTGAACCAAACCGCCAAACCTGACAGCTAAGGATGGTCAGTCGGTCTTTCGGTCCTGAACGGTCCTGCCCGGTCTTTGGGAAAGTTATAAGGAATGCACCCTTGAATTTTTAAGGCGCAGCAAGTATGGCTAAAGACCAATAAATGTCAAAATTTGGCCTTTATACTTCTTTTTTTAAGACCAGCAGAGGCGAAATTGGAAAAAGACCGAAAAAAGCAAAAAATACTGGTTTTGGCAAAATAAAAACCTGCCTAGCTCTAAATTGGGTGATTAGATCAAGACCAAAATTTACCACTTTTTGGTCTTTAATCAGTTCTGTTGTGCTACAAAAAATTGGAAGCACAGCCTTATTACTTTTCCAAAAATTTCCTAAAGACCGATCAGGACCGATCAAAGACCGCAGGACCGACTGACCATCTCTACTGACAGCGCCACCCTGGAAAACTTTAGTGTAACACAATTCAAAATTTCGCATAACGCAAAGATCCGATGTCACGTGATTTATCGTTTCGTAAATTCGGGGACACTATAGTTTTGATTTTTTATTTAATAATCGAGTTTAATTGATTCTAATCGGGTTTTTGATTAATTCGATTTTGGCAGAATTGATTTCAATCCCTAGTTTGTTTTACCAGAATGCCTCCATACATAAGCTGTCTAAAACCTAAAAAAAAATAGTTGTAATACCTTCAAAATCTCTCTGTCCAAGGTTCATCTGAAACATAAAAAAAAAAATAAACTTATGTTAATAAATATTCATCAAAGAAAACTAAAAGAAAATTTTTTCTTTTTTATAAGTCTGTTTTTTTGTAAGTTATTTCCTTTTCGTGGGTTGATTTCTTCGTGATTTCTTTCTTCATGGGTATTTTTTTTTGTGTTGTGGGTGTTTTTTTATTATCTAGAAAATTTTGGTTAGACAATTCTAAAATTACTATAGATTAATAAAATATAAAATATTAAATTGATAACAGATAACATTATATTTAATGAAAATATTATTAATTAAAAATATTATTTAAAATTAAAATTTTATAAAATATATATAGATTTTATGAATCATGTTTAAAAATATAGTAATTTGTATAATTTCATTAGTATTTTTCAGTATATAAAATGTAATTTTATGGTATGTAATTGATCAGATTTTTATCATGTTTTTTTTATATGTACTTTTTACAGAAAATTTCTTATCTATTTTTTTTTATGAGATGCTTTTTCATCTAATACAGAAAGTGTGTATAAGAGTGATTGTAATACTTGTGATCATATTAGTTATTTTTGTTGTTTGAACTAAAATGAATTACAAATAAATAAAATAAGATGGGTGAAGAATTATTTTTATTGTATGTTTTTGAAATATGAATTCAATAAATAAATTGAATAAATGAGCAATGAAAGAGTAAATGAGCCTCTTTTATATGTTTTGCTAAAACATTTTTTTTTTATTTAAAAATAAAAATGCATAATTCAGGAATCTAAAAATATGGAATTTTTTTCAGAAATAAATAGAAAATAAATTTTAAATATAAATATGAAAAAATTTTTTTGTATAACTCAATCAGTAGCGGTGACAAAGTCACCACTCACCACATATCAACCTAATCTAGTTTTTGCCAGTAAAAAGGGTGGGTCAATTATAATATAAGAAATACATTCTCTCTTTTTTAACTATGAGCTAATTTATTGCCTGTAATGTCTAATCTAACAACATAAAGGTAATATTGAACACCAAAAATTGTAATACAAATTAATCAACAATTTTGATTTACTAACTCACAAGAAATTAGCATTGGAGATTTAAGATACTTCTGGATCAAGCCAAACTTTCTTTTAACATCCTAAGTGTGCTAGAGGATCTTTTTATTTCCTGATACCTTAAATTTGTCCTTTTAATCAAATGTTATTTCATGAATAATCAAAATGATATTTTTTTTAAAAAAAATTATGTAATTTTTTCTTTAATCCACTACGATGATAAAAAAATAGAAATCATTCTTTTTTCTCTTAAATTTTTAATAGAGGATTCCAGAAAATATTTCCTTTAATGTATAAGAAATATATAAATATATATTAAGATAATTTTTTAAACATATAAACTTTAACAAGTATAAGATACAGTATAAGGTTAAATTTGATGATAAACAAAAATTTGCTTTTACATTATTTTAATATTCTATTAACTATATAAACAGAGAATTTAATTGCAATCTTCGGAATTGATATTGAGTTTGGTAAAATCAACTTTTATTGATTCTAATGTATATATAAAGCCAGAAATAAATATTGTATCAAAAATACAATTTAATAAAACAAATTAAATTCATATAATTTATTTGAATGTTCTATTTCAAGTAAATCATCATTACCATTGGCATTTTTTGGTTCTGAAAGATCTTTAAAATCTAAAATTCTACTTATATAAACTGCTTGAGGATGTGTCATATATTGGAGTGTACTTGTAGAAGATAATGGTGATTGAGCTGTTGAAAATGATGAGAACGAATTTTTATTAATTTCATCTGCATCATTGATTTGTTCTTTGATAATACAATTCTTTTCAAATATATTTAACCATAAATCATCAAATAACTCGACTAATTCATCTGAACTAGGTCGTTTTGAGGGGTCTGCATCCCAACATTGATTAATAATGTCAAAAATTAATTGAGGAATTTTATAATTAGACTTTGGCCTCAATCCATTACAAATTTTCATTGCCAAGAAATCATCATGAGCTATATCATAATAAGGAGGGAAACCTGTACAAATTTCATATGCAATTATTCCAATTCCATAAATATTACTTTTTTTAGTATATTCTTTTCCTCTTAAAACTTCTGGAGCTACATAAGGTAATACACCATATATTTTTTTATTACTATTTTGAGTATTTTGAGAGGATTTAACATTTGCTGGTTGGCATAATCCCAATTCAGTAATAGCAACACCTCTATTAAAATTGCTTAATATATTCCCACAATGAAAATCTTGATGAATTAATCCATTTGTATGAATATAATCAAGACCATGCGAAATATATACTAAAATCAGCAACTTATACTCCCAAATCAGTAAAATGAAATTGTTATCTAAATATTGTCTTAAGCTACCATTTTTTAATTCCATAACCATTATAAAATTATTTGTTTTTGGATCTTTGGTAATACCAAAACAACGAACTACATATTCAGTAATATATACTAAAATATTTGATTCAACCTTAAAAGAAAATTATAGTTAGTTTAACATTTATAAAGGCTAATAATACTAAAAATCAGTAAAAAATATCTTACTTCTTTTAAAAAATCTGTAATATCTTGGGAATTATATAAGCACTTTAAAGCGACTTTTGTTTCACCTTGCCTTTCCAATTGAGAATTATTTATTGCACAAGGTCCATCTTTCCAAATTGCTTTAAAAGTAGTTCCAAATCCCCCTTTTGCTAAATATTCAACATCTTCAAATTTATCATATTCAATCCATTCTATAATATGGTCATTATCTTTAGCTTTTAATTGTGCTTTTTGAATAAATTCATCAACGTCATGATTTCCACTTGTCCAATTTTTGAAATTTTGTTTAAAATATTGTGAATTACATGATCGACAATAAATAGAATCAGTTTTAGGCTGATTACAAATTTTACATAAACCATATTCTTTATAACATTCTTTTAATTCTTGTTTATCAATTAACAATTCTTGTTCTTCTTGTTCTTTAGTTAAACGATAACGACTAAAATCTTTTATTTGCTTAAATAAATATTTAATTTTGTTCATTTTAATAAATAATTTATTAAACAAAAAATATGTTATTAATTCGTATGTAAAAATTGCAAAATAATAAAGGAAAAGAAAAAAGATAAAAAAAGTAGTGAAACGTTATATTGAATAATTTCAAGATCGGCAACAAAATTGTGAAACAAGACTAGTTAAAATACACAAAGGGCACAGAGGGAACACAATAATCTGATCGGCAATTAAATTTTCTATAATAGGTAAGATTAAATGACGAAATAAATAAAAAAAATATTTGAGTATTATGTAATTAAAAAGTTGTTGTGTATTGTAATGAAATAAAATTTTTTCATAAGTAAAACTAAAATTGTCAGTATGAGGAATGTTGTACACTAGGGTGAAATCAAGAATCAAGTTGGGCACATTAATTACAATTTTTTGGAAATGTACAGTATGTAGACTATATAATAAAATAATATAACAATTTGAATTTCTATTCCTAAATAATGAAACACAACAATCGATAAAAGGAATCATGGAGTTAAATTAGAGAAGAGATTGGTTAATATGCTTGTAAAAATGTTTTCTTTTTGGGCATGATTATTATTTTATTGAATTTTATTTCTTTTAAAAAATTCTCTGATTATTTTAAAAAACTATAGTATCTTATTAATGAAATCAGTTTAATCAATATGATAATCGTTCTTTTGCAAAAAAAACCTTTGACTCATTGATATCAACTGCATTATTAATTTTACCTTTAGAAAAGCCATTGAAGCACAAATGAAAAGAAATCTTTTAAAAATTTTTAGTAAACTCTTATTATTCAATTATAAATTGACGTTCCACAGCAGTGTGGGTTTGAACTTTGAATATTAACATATACAGTATATCTTAAATAAAATAAGACAAAATAAATAAAATAAAAAGTAAAATAAATATTTTTTCTGTAAATATGAATAAGGTAACGAGTTTTATTAAACTTTATTAACTTTATCAAAATTTTTTGAGTGATACTGGTCAACTAATTCTTTCTCCAAAATTTTTACCACGTGATCTGATAGGCAATCGCGTTTCTCATTTTTATAAGTATTTTTGGAACTTTGGTTTTTACAAGGTGTGAAATCATATTTGTCACTCTCATTTAACTTCTTAATGCAATAATACCGGCTAGTCACGTATATTCCTTTTTCACATTTTAACAAGCTACGATAAAGAGTTTCCATAAGTTTGTTCTAGAATTCTAAAAGGATTACGTAAAAATGTAAAGAACAATAGATCATCAAATGCATATTTAAATGACAATTTTTTCAGGTAATGAAATTCCATAAAAGGAATTATAAATTTTGTAACAAATAAATCTGATTTATTTGATTCTAGCAGGTTCAAAATGATAAATTATTCAGATTTTTTATAAATAAAGTTATAAAATTATATTTAAGAATTAGATATATTTGAGCTAGTTGTTACATTAACATTGAATAAGTTTAACTTGGATGTTAGTGATATTATTAACAGATTGATTTTTTTTTTATTAAAAGATAGGAATATAAAGAAAAATAAAAATTCAGAGATTGCTTCACCCAAAATAGTTTAATTTTAATTTGTAAATATTTTCCTTTATATATAACTGTAGCCTGTTGCATTACAATAGGATTGATTAGTTTAAATAAATCGACATAATGATAAAGTTTCTTATTTATATTTGGATATTTTAGATAATTTATAATTTGATTTTATAATTTAAATGATTTACATCTATAATATTGGAATGATATAAATTATATTTACAACTTTTATTATTATTATTGTATTTTGCAAAAGTATTTACGGTAAAAACTGAATATAAAAAATATTACTATTATAACTGCTTTCATATTATTTGGGACAAAGTAAAATTTTGAACGGTCCAGTTATGTCAGGTGTCAGTTTATCACGTGAATCAAGATTTACTTTGAACAACTAATCTTTCTTTAGATTTTCGTCCTTAGATATGAGTTTGGGAATAAGATTATTCATTTCTTGATTATCTACATTGATTTCAACTTCTGATATAACTATCAGACTAACCTACGTGGTTTCAAAGATATTTATATTTGTTTTCTTTGTTGTTTTGATTTCATATTTGTTAATACAGCTTTTACATATGTTAGCAATATCTAAACTCTAAGAAACCTTAAGTATAGTAGGTACATTAGCTTTAAACCATGTAAAAAAGGAATAATCTATGGCTTTCTTTCTACTGCCATTTTTTAGACATTTGGAATGCTCTTGATTGTAGTTGGGCTGGAAGATTCCTGTGCAAGGTGAGAGATGAACCGAGCATTATACAATGACATAAAAAAGAAGGTATTTCATTTCAATTTAATTATGGAAGGGAGCCCCAGATCAGCTACCTCCTGACTCAGGAGTATCAGCTACTTCCTGGTCCTCGCCATTTGCTTTTGTTTTTGTTTGGATCATTAAGGTTTTGGATCAGCGGAGGATGTTAGTTTTCTAACTTTTTATTTCATTACAAAAAGGTGAATTCAAAACATGATGACGTAACTATATGTTGTTTTTGAGAAGAAGTGATATCAAAAAGGAATCAAGAGTTTCAGCAAAATATTTCCAGTTGTATTAGTACATCCTTTTAGAAGTGACTTTAATCTTTTTGATAGCTTAAGCCCAGGAATGTTCTTGATACTAAGAGTATCAAACTATTAATAGTGTTATTACTGATTTGGTCTGGAGTGATAACTAACGACAGAGATATCAAATTGAACAGTCGTGACAAAAAGGACAAGTAATAAGATTATAAGTATTACAATAATATTGTAAAAAAATATAAGGTATCACTAATAATTCTCAGTAGAAAATTAATAATGATGGTAAACAATGTAAGTGTTTCTTAAAGATAAAAATCTATCAAACAAATAATGACAAACATAAAGATAAAACAAGTAAAACACGCAAAAAGTTTACTACAAAAAAAAAACTAGCAAACAAATCATACAAAACACAATACTTCGGATAACACAATCTAAACTAATTATTCATATGAATAAAAGATGTATATAAAGGTAAATACGTCATGTTAGGTAATTAAAAGCTACAATATAACCATACGTATTGAAATTGTTGAGTAATTGATTTAATTGATTGCAGATATTGATGTCATTTATACTTTTTCTATGATCATTGTACAACAAAAAAAATAATATTTATTTCTTTTCTTTTTTTTAATACATATCTCCCCTCCATCTCTTTCATTCCGCCTTCAAACACAACTAAATACTTTTTTTATAAATACTTTCTTTTCAAATAAATATCTAACAAATACCTTTTTTTCACACGCAAATAAATACCTTTTTTTCACGCGCAAGTGAATACCTTTTTTTACAAGCAAGTAAATATCTTTTTTTCACGCGCAGGAGAAATACCTTTTTTTTCACGCGCAAGTGAATACCTTTTTTTACAAGTAAGTAAATATCTTTTTTTCACGCGCAAGAGAAATACCTTTTTTTTCACGCGCAAATAAATACAATAAATACATGCACAAGTGAATACCTTTTTTTCACGCGTAAGTAAATATCTTTTTTCACGCGCAAGAAAATACCTTTTTTTTCACGCGCAAGTAAATACCTTTTTTCACGCGCAAGTAAATACTAAAATGGAAAAAAAGATATATCAACATCAAGAACTGTATTTACTGCCTTTGGACAACATATGGGTAATGAGTTTCATTAGCTATTAAAAGTTGTTTGTAAGTGAAAACCCATCCTAACTATTCTTGTCAGTTTAGACGTTTTGTGGTTCTTGCCAAATTTGGTACCTACTGTATTTATGATACTGCAGTTTTATTACTGTTATCATTCTTCTTTTGGTTACACATCGCAAATATTCACTTGTTTTCCCTTCTCAATAGAGCTTGTATAGGAAGTAATGAATACTCAAATACCGCTGAACTTACCGCTCTGGAAAACTCTTCTCTTGAAGCCTCTATTCATGCTCCAGCTTCTGGTTCTGTTTCTTCTCATTCTCCTGCGGATCCCTCTTCTACTACTAGAGCTCCTTTGATAGAGGACAAGCTAACACTAAACGAGGCTAGGTTGTATCATTAAGTGGTAAGTATAATTATAATAGTTCGCCGGATGGACGCATGTGTAGGTGTAACACTGCAGGGTTCACTGAAAGTCTTCCGGATGGTGAACTGTTATTATTGACATAGGGGTTTATGTGCTCGTAGTACGTACCATTTGCTACAGGCTAGTAGCTATCTGCTTTTGTGCACTAAGTCATAGCTACAATGATGCCATATAGGTGATCCCCAAGCTGATCCATATGGAAGGGAAGGCCAGGTTCCCGTTGGAAATGACACATATCTCCTATGCCATATCACTTACTTAGTTATTGTTATTGAATACTATATGAGTCCATTTGCCATAGATCCAATGAATGGCCACATGGGTGTCCTGGGGTTCCCTGCTTAGGCATAATTAACAGGATGGCAAACCTCATATGGTATGAGGTGATAGTGACTAAAAAATTTTGTAAATTTTGTAGGACATATATCAATCATTTTTTCTTTAAAATAGGTGTCTTAACGTTGGCGCCAGTGAAATTCTTACTTTTTATGCAATTATGGCTATTAATCAGGGTAATTTTGAAGGGCAGTTGAAGATGTGAGCTGGGATATAAATTTTTACTCCCATAGACAAATAGAACTTTTCAACTATAGAGTTTTTCTTCTCTTTTTAGTTTTATTTTTGGTTCTTTTTTCTTTTTATTCTTGTTGCTTTCTTTTTTCTTTTTAATTATAGATGTAACTATTTTTATTTTTCGTTTCTCATTCTGTTTGAAATTACATTTAATATTGACTTAGTAATATTATGTCATTTTTGTTAAATATGTAGCTTTTTATTTAAATTAATACGTTTTTTACATTCATGATATCTTTATAATTAATTGGATTTGGGAAAAATTTTGTGTATAAATGTATATGAGCGTATGAAGTTATATAGTACGTATATATGATAATAAAGTACACAAACATAATTGTATTAGTGTAAAAAATATATAAAATTATGATGATCGACTAGCATTAAAAAATATAGTGCCAGTAAAATTTGATAATTCTGGCCAACGGTGATGATCACCCCGGTGATTTGAAGTAAAAAAATCTTATTTTTTATCTCACGTTCCTAATAATAATTCATGATATTTTTTTCTTGATATTCTCACAATGTTTATTAAAAGATGGATAAAAAGTTTAATATTGGACAAGAAAATCATTAGTTAAAAAGGTATATTAAAGAGTTTTATGGTGATATAAAATAATTATTTCGCGGAGTCACTGGAATATCATGATTGCACAGTTATGCAGTAAAATAACTATACTATCCATCAGTATATATTTTTTATGTACATAAGATAATGTATTTATATTATGAAATATACAATAATATATGCTAAAAAAAAATATTTTTTGGTTGAACTATGTAAGCTTACATTTTTATTTTGAATATTTTCGTTAACAGGCTGTTTTCATTTAACGATTTTATTAAATACTATAAGTTAAAACCATAAAAGCTTTTAAAAAATGATTATTATTACAAAAATACTATTATTAGAGTTTTCTTAGTCTACTTATCATTAATAAGCTACTAATATCTTCCTGTTTAAATTAATTTTAATCGTTATATTTTGAAGCACAACAATCACAAACGAAATTAGAAATGAAATTTAAACCAAATTATACTATAACTTCTTTAAAGACATTAAATCCATCCTTTTATAATTTGACAATTTTACAGTAAATAATAATAAATTTAAGTGTAACAAAAACATTTTTTGCATACACAGCGAACATTTGTATTTGCTTTTCAATTTAGATAATACTTTTGCATAATACTTACGATATAGATAGCTATGAGAAATTCTTTGAAATGTCTCTTGTTTTTAATTATCATTTATTTCCTGATTTAGTTAAAATCTGGACAAATGCTCGTCCACTAAAATGCACTAACCATTCATGTTATAGTTCATGTCTACTTTATCAATTACAAGTGAATAAATATTATGATTAATAATCAAATTTGCGAGAAAATGATTAATCGCTAAAACATACATTTATTATTTATGTTCTTAAGGGGTCAAATTCTATCTAAAAATATTAAGTAGTGAATGTCATCAGGGAATGGCTATATATATTTTATGATAATTAAACAAAATTTCTATATTTTAATTAGTAAAAAAGAGGCCGCTCATTGCGAATTTATTTTCCACATTATTTATGATATCATATCAATCTTTGGTGGTGAGGTGAAAGATTATTTTCAATAGAATTAACAGTGTTACAGAATTATAATGAGAAATGGGTTTTGGATTTTATGTAAGGGATGTCATCATGAAGCAATAGAAAAGAATTTTAGTTATGAAATTAGTGTAGAAAATAATGAATTAGTAAGGAAAAGTGAGAAATGTAATGTTTGTGAAAACTGTACGAATTATTATTTTTGTATAAATATTCTGTATTTAAATTTGACAATATATTAATAAAGGATTATTTGATTATTATTATGAAACGAAAAAATTCAAGTGAAATTTTTGAAAATCCTAGTAAAAAGGTAAAAGTAAATTGTGAAATTATAGATATTTGCGATAAGTACTATTTAATATTGATGGAAGAATACAGAATTAAAAGGAATGAAAGCTTACAAAAGTACATAATGAACTAAAAAAAAAATATGGTACAAAACAAGAAAAAGGGAGCCAAAAGATGGGTGAAAAGAATGAATAAGTAAAGGAAACGAGATGAAGAATACGATAGTGAAATAGCAATTATTGAAGAAGAAAATTCGGAGGAAGAAAGATATGAGATAAATGGTGATGGAAGAGTAGATTTGCAGGAAATTAAGAATTGAAGAAAAAAGTTAAGAATTTATTGGTCAATGTAAAAATTATTTTGGTGGAGAAATAGGAAACGAACAAATAGATGCATTTTTGAGCAAATTACCTAATACAGAAAATAATATGATTAGATTGTGTGTTTTACTTTTCGTTGGAAAAGGGTTGCAGATTATTGTAGTCAAGTGGAGAATTTTTGACTATTCTTCGAATACGTTACCGTCAAACGGGAATTGAATAGGCTTTATTTTTTAATGTATTACTTTTTTGATTCTACAATTTTAAATATCTTTATTTATTTGTAAAGTTTAAACATATAATTATATTATAGGGATTGTTAAAATTTTATGACATTTAATAAACAAAAATTGTCTATTTTAGTATTCGAAATTGCTGGAGAAAAAAAATCCTTAAAAAAATTACTTTTGAAGTTTGGTTGTAATGTTTAGTATTACATAATTCTAATTTTGGTATACTATTTTTATTTTATATTACTTTGATTTATTATATAAAGGCAGGGTCAGCCTTACCCCTGAATAAAGATTTTTTTATTTGATCTTCTGAGTACAGATTACATCTTCATCACATTGATTTTTGTAGGATAATTAGTGTGATAACATTATTACAAACAGGGTTAATTTTACACTGGTATACTTGTAGTTGATCAAAAATCTGAAAGCTAACCATATATTAATATCAAGGAAATATTTATTATTCATATACATTGTTCAGAAGGCTAATTTTTGTAATAAATAAATATGATCTTGAGATTTTTTCATAAGGATATTTTCTGCATCATTATGTATTAATAAAACTATAATAATGAGTCATAATTATGTTTAATAGAATGTGTGATATATATATACTTTGGATAATTTTATCATTTATTTTTATACTTTTCAAAATGTTCAATTTAAACATTGATATTCTTATTTTAATATTTGAAGAACTACAATATAACAAAAGTATCAGAAACGTCAGAAATACACTATATTCATGTCTTTTGGTTAATAAAACATGGTGTAGTGTCATCATTCCAATTCTCTGGAAAAATCCTTGGTCAGACAAAACATCAAACAATAATGTAATTATTTCGCATTTATCAAATGAGGCAAAAGAAATTCTGAGCAATCAAATTAAAAATGGAAAAAATGCATCAACAATATTACAAAGACCTTTATATAATTATGTTAGCTTTTGCAAATATTTAGATCTCTATTACCTAGATAAATTACTATTCCATTATACTAGAAATATTGAAAGATCCAAAAAGTCATTTATAGCAGATGAAATATTGAAACTATTTATTAATAAAAATTCAAAATTTACTCACCTTAAAATAACAACATGCTTATATAACAAAATATTTCCTATTCCAGAAGCTGAGCATTGCTTTTCTGAACTTAAAGTCCTTATATATTATAATGATTCTGATCAAAAACTTTTGGAATGGTTAACCAAAATAAGCAAATCTATTAAAATTTTTGAACTTCATAATTGTAAGTGGAATTCTGAAATCCTCAATTTAATTGAAGTACAAAACAACCTAAATAGCATAGTCTGTGATGTATTAGATGGAATAGATAGTTATAAATCGAAAATATTAACCAAACATACTTTAATAAGTTTGCACATACAATCATGTTTTTATTTAAGCAAACATTTATCTTTACCAAATTTAAAATTTCTAACAGTTGAATGCATCTTAACTGAAAATTTGGTGATTATAATTGAATGTACAAAAGGATATCTTACCGAGATCAGCATAGACAATTTCTTTGATAAAAATAATAGATATATACAATCAATTTATCAAAATTGTCCGAATCTCAGATATTTGAAACTACCATTAATAAATGAAGAAGTTTCAGAATTAGAAATTTTATTAACTAAATGTAAATGTTTAGTTGAATTATTTATTATTGGAACTCATAATGGTCAAAATAGTTTGCTAGGTTGGGATAAATTACTCAATATATTAGCCAAATCATCACCAACTAGTTTATTTAAATTCAAATTTTATTTTACTTATGAATTACCTATATTAGAATCTTTTAAATTGTTTTTAGATAATTGGAAAGGTAGACATCCTATGTTATTACAAACAAATATTTATGATGAAGATTTGTTAACTTTAATCAAAAATTATATAGATGAAGGAATTATTAAAAGTCACATATGTGGTGGTGATTTAATCAGGAATTTTCATGATAATGGTTATATTGATACCGATTACACAGTGATTACACATGTAATTAACAAGTCATATATAGTATAATAAATCATGCCATACAGTAGTAACATATGTTTCAAGCACATCCCATTGACAAGATTTAATTTGTTTAACAAATTTAAGTTTAATATTTCAAATCAATACTTCAAAAATTTACTAGTATTATTACATCATAGCTCATTATTCTTATAATGGCAGCTGAATATTTAATATATTATCAAATTATACTTTGAAGCTGTGTTACAGTTTGCTTCTCAGACCAATATTCAGCAAATTACTGATCTGTCAAGAGATTTGCGCACCTTAAAATAATTTTTAGTTTATTCTTATATATGTTTAGCAAATTGTTGGGTCTTTTTGTGTAATAAACAAATAAACAATTTCCTTTTTCAAAAAAATCTTTTTATTAATAATTTGTGCAACCTAAATTACCGTTCATTTTATCATCTATATCTGTATCCACTATCCAGTATCAGATTTAGATTCAGATACTGTATCTGTACTCTGAGGAGGGCTGGAATTTTTTTTGCATATCAAGGTTGTTTAAGTATAAAAAGCTGATCTCCCACTGACTAATGGTAATTGGGGCTGGTGGCAAAAAATTGGCTTATCGGGAATGATCGATACTATATTTATATATATTTTTATAATATAAATATTTTATTATTAGTATTTTTAAATAAATGATTACTGTACATATCTTTTATTATCATTATTTATTATTATTCAATTAATTAATTATCATTTGATCATAATGTAATGTTGTGAAAGTCATCCATTACATTTTTTACTCGTATTACTATTAACAAACCCTTTATTTATTTTAGGTTTAGTTTGGGCCTGAGGAACTGATTTAAACAGAACAATATGGATAGATGTAAAACCATTATTTTTTGTATTTATTTTTTTCATTTTGAATTACTAATCGGCTCTTTTTTCTTCATTGCTATTTTAGGTTTAGCCTTGAAGCTTAAGAATGGAGGGTTCCGATTGAAATTTTACTAATTGATTATTTTTAATTTTTATTTTTATTTTATTTTTATTTCGAACATAACTTCTTCATTGCTATTTTTAGATTCAGTCGGAATGGAAGGTGCTGATCAAGCTGAAATAATGTGAATAGTTTAATTTTTTCATTTGAATGTTATCAGCCTGTCATTTTTTAGGTTTGATTCTGAAACTTTGAAATGAAAAAAAAGTAAAATAAAAAAAATTACGGAACATTGTCACCTACCCATATTGCTCTGTTTTGATCAGTATCTTCCATTCTAAACATTACTAATCAACCTGCCATTTTTCTTCATTGCTATATTTAGGTTAAATATTGGAGAGGATACTGATCAAAATGAAATAATGTGAGTAGTTACTAATGTTTTTCAATTTTTTTTATTTTGTTTTATTTCATATGTTACTTATTAGCCCATCATTATTTAGGTTTGGTATTGAAGCTTCAATACGGAAGGTACAGGTAGATGACAATGTTCCGTAATTTTTTTTTTTAAATTTTTTTTATTTTAAACATTACTAATTGACCTTTAGGTTCAGTATTTAAGCTTCAGAATTGCAGAAATGTATTTAACATTTCAAATTTTATTCTCTTTTTTTTAGATGGCTCGGATGTATAAATTTTGTTAAGATTCAGAAATTCTCTTTTTTTAGACAGGTTTAGAATGCAGATTTTTGTAGGAAAACAAATATGTTTTTTAATTTTATTAATTTAACAAATTAACTTAGTTATAAATAGCTCCATATGAGACATCATCTTAATATTAGAATAGAAATAATAATGAATATTTATTGTTATAAATAATAAATAATGTATACAAATATTAAGAAATGTTTAAATCTCAAATTTTATTAATTTCGTAAAAAAAAATTGTCAAGTTTAATGAAAAAAATAATCTATTCTATTTATTATATTCTTATTAATTATTTTTAAAAAAAAAGATTCTTTCGTAATTGTTGATTTTAATTTGATTTCTGACAAAAAAAAAAAAAGATCTCAAACAATTATACAATCATATCTTTTGATAAAAAAAAAAATCTTAAATAATTACTAGCAGTTGCCTGTTGTTTTGTGATAGGATCCACTTAAACTAATTGAAAGTAATCTTTAATATTAGTGAACTTGATTAAAAATTAGAAATATTTAAAAGTTTTTATTGGTTGAAATCAGGAATTTTACAGTTAATATCAAATGGTAGTTAAATTTACATATATTAAGATGTAATAAATTATATTTATAAACTATATTAGATTCTAAGACAATATAACTATTAACTGTTTTTAAATTAATTTATACCTGATTACTTTCAGCTAACACAGATTAGTCGTTTGAGTCAGGTAATTTAGACATTAATCCCCTGTCGCACTAAGTGTCACTCATGATCACCTTCATACTAATTTTTAAAAATTGCGAGTGATTAGTTGAGTTTATAAATGACCGGGAATCTTCGTTTAGTTATTTCCCGGTCTCATATAGATAGCCGGAAAATTACTAATTTTAGTTTAAAATAGTTAAAATAGTTAATATTTAATGAGTGACACGCTCCAGGGGATTACCCATTTATTTCCAACTCCCCATGAAATAAATAATACAAGACCTGTCACATATGAAATAAATATTGTCAGCAAAAATTTTTTGATCCGAACCTTTTAATATATACTTAATATATGTAGTATTTTTATGGAAATATCTATTTGTAAATATATAGTAATACTTAAGTATATAGATTCTATAGTAAAATTAAGGGATTAGTATTAGGGTTAGGGTACTTATAATAAATGAATATTACGTAATAAATGTGACAACCCTTATGACTTCCGATTTTCAATTTATATATGTCGACCATTTTTGTCATTATTCCTAATTCATATATTCATTCATTATTCATTTAATAAATAATTATTTGTGATGAAACTTTTTTATTTTAACAAAAAAAAAATACGCATCCAATTAATAAAAAAAATAAATTATGTGTCGCAGCTCCATTGTATTATAAGTAACAAAAATTAAATATCATTATTACGTAAATCTTCCAAATATTAAATCTCTTCTTTTAAAAATTCGATAAAATCAAGTTTCATTTTATAATAATTTTGAACTATTATATCATGTAATTTAAATTCCTTTACTTCATCTTTCATATCAAACAAATTTTCACCAGAATAATTATCAGTGAAAAGGTTTTGAAAAGCAAAATATTTAACTCTTTTCTTTTTCATAATATATTCTTTTATATTATATAACGTATTGTCTTGACCAACTTTTTTTCGTGTTCCATTTACTATATTATTAAGTAATAATTCCTTAATAAAAGTATTTTGAGAATTTTTCAAAAATAATACAAAATCATTTGTATTCAAAACAAGAGACAAATTCAAATATTCTAATTTAAAAGGAAGAATTTGACCTAAATTTTGAAGTACAGTTGAACTAAGTTCAATATGTCTATTACTAAAACCAAATCCAAGATAATTTATATCAATAGTAAGACAATTAAGATTTTGTTTAAAGGTTTCAATTAAGTTAAATGTTAAATAAATATCCTGATCATTAAATCCTTGTAATTTAAAGAATTTAATTTTCGTACAATAACTTGTGATTAATTTAATTAGTTGAAGGTTTGAATTAAAGAGTTGTGGAACTGGATAATTATATGTAGGATCAATTGATAATCCAAAATTTTCCAAATAATCTCCAGATTTTTGTAATATTAATTCCATTGAATCTTTCAAGATCAAAGATTTTTCATAGAAGATCAAAGATTTTAATTTAAATGGTTTAGTTAAATTAATTATTTGTTGAGTAAAATTAGAATCTAAAGAATAACAACCAATAATATGAATAGATTCTATTACATTTAATTGTTCAAATACTTCATTTAAAATATTTATATTTTTAAAATCAATTTCACAAAATATAATAATATTTAAAGTGTTTAAACAATTAGAATTTAATAATATTGAAAGAGGGAAACCTTTATATAATAAAATTTTATTAAGATTTTTTTGTGAATTAATTAATCGTGATAATTCAATAAATGTATTACTATCTTTATGATGATTTTCAAAATTTGGAAGATAGATTGATGAAATTGAATCACAATTAGAATTTAAAAATTTTAATAGAGGGTTTATATTATCACTTACATATTTGGTAGGTTCAAAATAAAGATTTTTGATATTACAAATTAAATTTGAATTTTGTAAAACTAATTCATAAATAATAATATCAAAAAAATAATGTTTATATGTAACATTAAGAGTATGTAATTTTGCTTCTTTTTCATTGAATAATTTAATTAATGATTTATTAATGAAATTTAATATATCATCAAAGTTTGTAAAAATATATGATGATTCAGCAAAAACCCAGTTTTTAATACATTCACAAATTGAACGTATATCTAAGTGTCGAATAAAACTGGGATAATTAAATAATGAATTTAAAGGAAGATTAATTCCGTACTCATTTAATCGTCTTTTATCATTATCATTTAGATTATATAAATAAACTTCAATATAATGATAATTTTTAAGATTTTGTGGTAAAAATGGATAAAATGGATTTTCCCATAATATTGGAATTGTTAAACGACACCATAATCTATTGACTAAAATACACGAATGTAATGTTGAATAATCATTCCGAAAATATTGTATAATTTTATTCAATAATTCGGGTAATTCACCAGAAAATATTTTTGAACATGCCATATTTTAATAAGCGAAAGAGGAAGGGGAAAGGTTAGATTTTGTGTTCAGCAAAAAAAAAGGAGTTATGAGTTATGAGTCTGATATTGTCGCACAATTAATCATTTGTAATCCAAAATTTTTTTTCGTCTTACGTTACTCATATTATACAAGTCACGTGACTTGTGCCAAATCGATCAGCATTTCGTATTTAAAAATTGGAATGACCAGTCGTTTCACTGCTCCGCCAAATCACATGACAAGCTGCATAAAAGTACAGTTCGACAAAAAAAAAAAATCATTTAAAACTTTTTTTCCAGAAATATACATATATAATATATTAATTTCACCTTTAACAAAGTATTCAAAGTACAAATTTTAGCTTTTATTAAACATTATTTCATTATTTATATTTCTACTTCTTACAAGTATTTTTTATGAATTTTCAGTCCATATTTTCTTCCAAGGAACGCAAGCCATGATCTCTTTCCATTTACGTGACAAAGTTGAAATTCAGTTTATTACTGTAAATACTTTAGATGTCATTTTCTTCAATTTTACCAAGTTCTGCACGTCTCATGCATTTATTGTGCATTTAATTTTTGATGAGAATTTGCCGTTCCAGTACGAAACATTGTTTCTAAAAGATGTTTGACTTGTTGAGATATTTTTTTTATTGGTCCAGGATGATGAATCTTTTCATTTTCTTTTAGAGCCAATCCACTGGTAAAAACTTGTTGACTATTCAAAAAATAAATAAATAGCATAATCAATAATTATTACCTCTTTGTTTCTTGGGAATTCACTTATTATTTGCAATATTTTCAAGGTTAGTGAGTATTTGGTTCTACTATAATCAAGGAATTTATATAACAAAATTTCTAGAATTGAATATTACTTATTAATTCACCCTGTTTTTCTAACAAGCAAATATGTTACCTATGTTTAGAAATAAATACGGCAAACAGGTAAACTCACTTTTTTTATTCAAAATTGACATGGTCCATTGTTTAATTGTGTATGAAGCATAAAAGTAGGATTTGGTTTTCAATTTTTCACTTTTTAACAACCTTTTCTATTTTTTTTCAGGTGACCATTCCTTCCACTCTCCTAGTAGTGCATGTGCATGAATATAACCAACATTTCCTTCATTCATCATTCTTGCGGATTGTATATTCCTGTAATGGTACCTAATTTTGTTTATCTAAATTGATAAAAAGTCAAGTTTGACATGATAATTAGAGTTTACATAACATTTTCTATTAGGATTCAAATTAGCAACTTGGATACCTGCTATATACTTTACTGCTGATTCAATATCATCTCCACAATCAACACTTTGTGTATTGTATCATACCACTCCTTTCAATGAACATTAATTCCATGCAATAATAGTGCATTCTATTATCTGGCATTATTGTTATTCATTTAGGCTTTAAGTTCATTGTTTCAATTACAGCATCACTTTTAGGCAATATGTTTGAACTGCATAAAGTTTTCTCATAGGGAAATTTTTGCATCATATTGATGCATTAATAAAACTACGATAAATGAGTCATGATTGTACTATATATGTGTACTGTATATATATGTACTGTACAACTGGATAATTTTATCCTTATACTTTTTCAAAATGTCAGATTTAAATGATGATATTCATCTCTAATATTTGAAGAATTACAAATAATAGAAAGATTAGAAAAGTAAGAAGTACATTCTATGATTCAGTTAATAGAACATGGTGTAGAATTATCATCCCAATTCTCTGGAGAAATCCTTGAAACATCAAAGAAAAAGAAATCAATATTTAATGTAATTATTTCACATTTATCAAATGATACAAAAGTAATTCTGAATAATCATATTGAAAATGCATCAAAAATACTAAAAAGACCTTTACTTAATTATGTTGGCTTTTGTAAATATTTAAATTCACTATATCTAAATAAATAAATTAATAAATTGTTATACAAATTATTATTGAACTCAGTATTAAAAAATACAACTCTGTACTATATTTTGACTATTAGTAAAAATAAAATATGGATAAGGTTTCTTTTGACTACATAATCTGAAAAGTAATACATTTATTTTACTAAATAATTATTATAAACTTTTAGTAAAATTTAAAGTTAAACATGATTGTAGGAAGATTGTATTAATTAAATAGCTAATTTCCCCAGGCTATATATAAGCTATGTTCATTCTTGGTTTTTGATTCCAATTTAAAGTAAAATTAGTAACATTAAGTAAATAATATTAAATAATCCATTAGACAAAGATGATTGCATTCTTACATACGAATATACTAGATATATATTAATTATATATGACTTTTCTTTATAATAAGCTCGGAAATTCAAATACTCTAGCTAACTAATAGCAAAGATTTATATAATTAACCAAATTCTAAATAATATGATAGGCTAAGATCTTTAAGATTTTGACAATTTTTGATAAATAGTCTTAATAATTCTGATCCACTATTATAATCCACAAGTATTCAATAAGAAATCCACTCATATTTTTAATATAAACTTATTATCAAGCAAACTTGGTTGGAATGTGTTTGACCTTCAATTTGATATTGAACCCTCCTAGGTTAGTCACATGGAATTGAAATTCATTTACTAAATTTGTAATAAAAGCTAGATCTTTTTTTGTCAGAGTAATAAATTATTAGTGATTATGAGATTATTTGATTTATTTTAAATAAATAAATATGTTTGATCCAAATAAAATTTTTCATAAGGTTATTTTCTGCATCATGATGTGTTAATAAAACTATAATAATGAGTCATAATTATGTTTAATAGAATGTGATATATATATATACTTTGGATAATTTTATCATTTATTTTTATACTTTTCAAAATGTTCAATTTAAACATTGATATTCTTATTTTAATATTTGAAGAACTACAATATAACAAAAGTATCAGAAACGTCAGAAATACATTATATTCATGTCTTTTGGTTAATAAAACATGGTGTAGTGTTATCATTCCAATTCTCTGGAAAAATCCTTGGTCAAGCAAAAAATCAAACAATAATGTAATTATTTCACATTTATCAAATGAGGCAAAAAAAATTCTGAGAAATCAAATTAAAAATGGAAAAAATGCATCAATAATATTACAAAGACCTTTATATAATTATGTTAGCTTTTGTAAATATTTAGATTTCTATCACCTAGATGAATTACTATTCCGTTATACTAGAAAGATTGAAAGATCCAAACAATGTTTCATAGCAGATGAAATATGGAAGTTATTTATTAATAAAAATTCAAAATTCACTCACCTTAAAATAACATCATGCAATTATGACCAAATATTTCTTATTCCAGGAGCTGAGCATTGCTTTTCTGAACTTAAAGTCCTTGAATATTACTCTCGGGATAATCAAAAACTTTTAGAATGGTTAGCCAAAATAAGCAAATCTATTAAAAAATTTGAAGTTTATGAGTGGAATTCTGAAATCAAAAATTTAATTGAAGCACAAAACAACCTAAATAGCATAGTCCTTCATAAATTAGATGATAAATTAGATAGTTATTCATTGAAAATATTAACCAAACATAATTTAATAAGTTTGCACATAAAATCATGTTTTAATTTAAACAAACATTTATCTTTACCAAATTTAAAATTTCTAACATTTGAATCCATCTCAACTGAAAATTTGGTGATTATAATTGAATGTACAAAAGGATATCTTACTGAAATCAGCATAAACGAATTCATTGGTAAAAATAATAGATATATCAAATCAATTTATCAAAATTGTCCGAATCTCAGATATTTGAAACTACCATTAATTGATGATGAAGTTTCAGAATTAGAAATTTTATTAACTAAATGTAAATGTTTAGTTGAATTATTTATTATTGAAACTTATTATGGTCAAAATAGATTGCTAGGTTGGGATGAATTACTCGAAATATTAGCTAAATCATCACCAACTAGTTTATTTAAGTTTAAATTTTATTTTAAATATGTAGTTTCTAGATTAGAAACTTTTAAATTGTTTTTAGACAATTGGAAAGGTAGACATCCTATGTTATTACAAACAAATATTTATGATGAAGATTTTTTAACTTTAATCAAAAAATATATAGATGAAGGAATAGTTAAAAGTCACAATAATATACGAGTTGGTTTGGTTTATTTTGAATGGATTCAAGAATATAATTATAATAATGGTTATATTTATACCATTTAATTATTAAGTCATATAGTAATAAATAATATCATAGTAACATATGTTTCTAGAACCATTTAATAAAATAATACTTTCTTATTTTATATTGTTTTGCATGAGCAATAAATTAAAGGAAAAGCAAATCTTTTATTTCATAGAATTGCGCATTTAACAAGTATATACTTTTATTATACAATCCCCACAAGCTTTATACAAATATGATAATATTGAATTTATGTTTCCATTTACAATTTGGTTAATAAACTTAAGTTTTATATTCAAATCCATACTCCAAAAATTTACTAGTATTATTACCTTATAGTAAATATTATAATCATTATTTCTTATAATGATAACTGAATATTTATTTAATGCATTGTCAAATATTACTTTGAAGTTGTATAAACCATCTAAAATTTACGCTCCTACTATCATCTCAGGCTTGAAATGATAAATGACAAATGACATATCATCAAATAACAAATGACCTGAATCATTAAAAAATAATGTTGGTCGGCAATGACTGAAATAACTAAATGACAAATGATTAGAAATAATGATGTTTCAGGCGTCACAATCACAATGTAAAAGCCAATGAAAATTTTTTAAAATGAACTAAGCGAAGTAATGCAATGATGACAATCAAGCGTAAAAATAGTAAAAAAAGCAAATTTTTTTCAAAAACTTAACAAAGTCGTTATTTTCTTAATATTAAAAGAATTACAAAATGGTCCCATTTTTTTATATTCACACATCTTAATTAACAGAGCTTGGTGTGAAATGATTGTACTAATTTTATGGGTGAATCATAGAAAAGAATTTAACCAGGAGCAAGATTTTAGAAGGTTGGCTCTGACAAAGTAAAAAAATTAGAAAATTTAAACTTTTATTAGGTATTAATTCTATTGATGTCAGTTAAATTAATTGAAGCTCAAAAAAAATTCTAAAATAAACAGTTTTAGCAGTTTTACCATTAAAATACAAATAAATTAAGAATCACTAATTAAACATTCGGATACCATCCAATATTTGAGAATAAATTGAAAAAGTTTCTTACATATCTTGTAATTTAGTTAATCTATAATTAGCACATAATAAGAGTTGTAATAATATAAATTATGATAATTTAGAAATATTTTTAAAGGCGAATACATTCCATATAATATTTTATCAAGCTTAATTAAAAATACAAAAGGGAATCTCGTTGAAATCTATCTTAATTGTTATTCTTTCGATGAAGGACAGGCAATTTATCAAAGTTGTCCAAATCTCAATATTATCAATTTATCATAGTTAAATTAGAATGTTTCAGAATTTGAAATTAATTGTCAGTATTTAACTAGCTTAGAATTTATTGGTGTATATGAAATTAATTGGGATGAATTATTCAAAATATTGACATAATCTTCGCCAATTACATCCTTCTTGTCATATAAGTTTGAAATCTTTATTATTTTTTGATAAGGAATACAATGATATTACAAAACATTCCAAAAAGAGATAAAATGATGAAAGATTTATTGCAAAACTATAAAACAAAAGGTTTAATTGAAAAATACGAGCAATAAGAAGCATAATCTTTTATAATAAGTTATCATGCAATAAATAAAAAAATTTTATCATAAACTAATTTCATACCCATCTATGTTAATCCAAAAGTCTTACAAACGCGATTTCTTAATTAAAGAAGTGAAACAAAGAGTTTTGTTATCATCTAAATAATTCTTTTAACATTAACAGGACTTGGGATAAAATGATATGCTTATTTTTATGGTATTATCTCATATTGCTTATTAATAACTGGAAATCCGAGCATCGGAAAAACCTTTTTCGGATATTATTTTCTTTATCAACTTGCACTACAAGATGCAATAGTTGTATATGATAACTATAATGAAACTGATCCAATCGTCTTTGAAGGAGAAAAAGGAGCATAACGCTTACAAGTTTTTCTAGTCATTATTTTTTTTGTTTATAATTTATTGAATTACTATACTATCCAATGCCAAAAAAGTCGAGTTATGTTTGAATTAGCGCTCTTTTTTCCGTTCATCATTTATTGTGATTAAAATTTATACAAATTTTATAGATTAATTTATTTGGATAATTTTTTTGTACTACCTCTATTTGGTCGTGGGTACTACTAATTTGATGTCCGATTTTTTACGAATTAATAAAAAAAAATTTTGGTCTAAAATTATCATAACATTTCTCCATAAAAAAATATAAAACCAACCAAGTGACATAAACAAATAATTTGATTTAACTGAAAATGAAGAATGAGTTTAAACACTGATTTAACTCCCCAAAAACGAAGCGTTCATAACCGCTGAATCTTTCAAGTTATTAACGGGATACTTATGAAAATGGTAATCGAGTTTGATTTTTTTCAAGCTGCGGCAATCACTGATACAGTATAATCAACGAAAAATTCAACTAAGTAAATCCGAAACTAAAGTAAATAACTTAAGTTATCTGTTATTAATTATACAAATTTTTTAGTATCTTAAAATTTTTTATGTAACAGCGAAATTTAATATTAATTGAAGATATCATGTAATGAACAATTTGATGAATTCGTTTTCACCATTAATCAGTATTATAATAAATATTTATATAAATACAGAAATATTAAACATAAAATTATAAATATTTTCAACATGATTTTTCAACTTTACATTCATGTAACTTACTCAGTTCAAATGATGATTTTAAAACAAGATTAAATGAATATGTAACTATTCACTTTTGAATACTTTATTCAATTATCCTAAGTTTTTAAAATATTTGAATATATATATAAACTCATTTCTTCAATTGTAATATGGTCAGAACTTTAGAACCTAAAAATAGTTATTTTTAAGTTATTATTAATATTTATTGAAAATGAAAATGAAATAAAATTATATACTTTTAATTTTGAGATCATCTTAATTATTTCTTGATGCACCTTGGTGAGAAGAAACAGACTCTGATACTTGTATGTACATTAAGTGATTAATTAGAGATACTTTATATTAATTTTGTCAAATATCAAAAATTGAAATCTACAAAAGTGTACTTTTTTACTTTTTACATTGTCCTTGTTATAACTGTCATGTTCTACTTTATAATCATCATCTTCAAATAAATCGGATGATTCATAATAACCTGCTTGATGTTGGTTTGTTCATGATTATCGTTAGAATTGATGGAAATTGAGGAGGAATATTGGCAGAGAGAGGAACTCTTCATTTAAATCACCATCGTTTAATCTTTGATTCTCCGATTTCATCTGGATCACAGGACAGAAACAGAACATGTCAGTTAGTGTTCTTATATTCCTGAATTATCTGCTACGGATAAGAAATTCATTTTAATATAATACTATACCTCACCCCCTCGTCGTCCATATTTTTTCTCGGCGGACTGTTAAAAAAATTGTCGACTTCGTCACTCATATCCTACAAAAATACATAAATGATATAAAAAACATTAAAATAACACTGGTATTAACATATACTTATGTAGTTATTTATATACCAGAAGGTTTCAGATTCTCAACATCGTTCGCCGAAGTTGACATTTTTGATGGTAATTTTTTCTTGGAGAAGCCTTGGATAGTTTTAATCTGCACAGGTATTCGGGTAGGAAAGGAGGGGAGAAAATTTTTGTGGACTAACCTTGTTTGTATTCCAAACTGGTCTTTTTGACCGTTACTTCAAGAAGATTACGAAGATCTGATGAATTCCTCACGTGACAAGCGTTCTTTTGGTAGCAATGAACTTTTTGTGATTGAAATTTGCTTGATACTTTTAATAGTTCGATACTCTCAGTATCAAGAACATTCTTGAGCTTAAGCTATAAAGAAGATTAAAGACACTTTCTAAAAGGATGTACTTATATAACCAAAGAAATTGCTGAGATTTTACTTAAACTTACTTGATTCCTTTTGATATCACCTCTTTCCAAAAATGACATACAGTTACGTCGTCATGTTCTGAATTCATCTTATTGTAATGAAATAAAAAGTTAGAAGGCTAACATCCTTCGCTGATCCAAAATCTCAATGATTCAAATAAAAGCAAAAGCAAAAGGAGTCGCAAAGGTGAGGACCAGGAAGTAGATGATGCTCCTGAGTCAGGAAGTAGCTGACCAGAAGTTTCCATCACCAACACTTGAGTCAGGAAGTAGCTGACCAGGAGCTCTCTTCCGTAATTAAATTGAAATGAAATACATTCCTTTTTACATTATTATATAATACTTGGTTCATCTTATTCACCTCGCGCAGGAATCTTCTGGTCCAAGTACCATCAAGACATTCCAAATGTCTAAAAATGGCGGTAGGTCGATAAGGAACTCGCTGTTTAGTTTTAAAAATTTATGTAGGACCAGTCTTCAGAATTAGAATTTGCAAGTACCCCACAAGAACTATCTAAACAGCTATATAAATTAATCCTCATATTTTCTTATGATCTTTTGAAATTAGTGTATTAAAACACTTACCCGCACGTCGCAGACGCCTTATGTTGTTAAACTCCAGTAATTTTTGTACAATAAACCCTGCTAGACGTTGGCTTCCAACAGCTTCCCTCTGTCGCAGACGCTTTCTTCTTGCTTAACAAAAATTACGTTTATTAAGGAAAGAAGTGGTTGTTCAGCCTGCTTGACTTATAATTTACTTTTCTCGAAGTGTCTAAGTAAATTCAAGCGAAAAATTTTAGATACAGCACGTACTGTCGCGAAAGATCTTGTTTATGATTATAATGATTGATTGACTATTTATACGAATCGCTTCAGGTAATATCATTGACTTCCCTCTCAAGTTTCACGTGTTAACAACTGATCATTAGTGGTGCAGACTTTTGAACCTTATGTAGTTATATCATTTTTTTTCAACGTCCTGTCAGTATGTCAGTAGCGTCACATTGTCGTATGACACCATTACTTTGCCATATGGATTTTTTTAGACTTTTGGGCTTTACATAAACTTTTGACGTAATTACTTTTAAATTTTTTAGGCTTTAAATAATAAACTTTTGATGTAGCTATTTTTAAACTTAATATACTTGATATTAATAATATAAACTTTTATTTTTTATTTTTATTTTATTTGAAAACTGCTTTTAAGTTTCGAAATTTAACATATCGCCATATTCTACTACTATAATTTTATAGATCTACAAATCCAATCTTTCAGGATGGAGAAAATGGACTAAATATACCTAATACTAATAAAGAAGTTAATAATAATATGGAATTTAATCCTATTGACATAGCTAGTTTAAATACTAGATTAGAGTGAATTGTTTACATGCTATCATTATGATTTTATATCCTTCGTTTATATACTAGTAATAGTAAAATTGCGTATAGAAAAATGTTAAATAATGCTGTTAATTAAAAGAAGCAGTAATTATTAGGGCAATGACATATATTAGCTAATATTTTAGGGGGTGGGGAGTTACTATTAAAATAATATTAGCTAATATATGTCACTGCCCTTATTATTTTTAATTAAATTATTTAATTATTTTTTAAATTACGTCATACGTCAAAACTGTATTATAGGGGTCAGGTGATGAAAATTTTTTTACTGTGACTCTGTGAGCTGTACGCATTTTTTCAGGGCCGGAATTATGATAATGTCAGTCGGTTACTATAATAGGAAATAATAAAATTATGACTGGCATTATCAAAAATTATCTAAAAAAGGAAAGATTTTCATGTTTTTTTAGTTCAAAATACGCAAACTCAATCTGACCCTTTTATATATATTTCTGGGTCCTCGCATTGCCATCAAAAGTTTGCATCACTACTGATCATAGTATTACAGTGAATCAAAAAGAATCCTTTTTGACATGTACCATTTTTATTTTTTTTTATTTTGTGCTTAGTTTTTGCTGTCTCCTTCTTGATAACTTTAACTACTTCATCAATCCCTTCTATAACACGCTTCTTACCCTCTTTTGTACCATCTGTTGTTGAAGCTTCAGTTTTTCTGATGGGTAAGATAACCTTGCCGAGCAAGTCACATTAACTAAATTGTATGCGTCAAGTTCGATTGGTGTAGATTTTCTTGATTTTTTTTTGTACACATTTCTTTTTCGAAAAATATCTTCTACTTCTCTACTTGGGAATAAGAAATCCGGCAAATAAATCTTCATTCTTTCTTAAATCCGTAATCATATCTACTACTACTGGTGATATGTGATCTTTAGGCGGAATCAATATCGGTTTAGGTGGACCACCCAGTTTTTCTTGAATCTATCAACCGTATCGTATCGGCTACCTCATCAACCAAAGGCGGAGGCGGCGGTTCGGTGGTCATTCGTCTGTCCGTAAGTTGTGCAGTACTAACCTTTTCTTCATCCATAGAGATCAAATGTTAGCCTAACCCAAGCACCGAGTTTTGATGACGACGGTAAAACCCCTCTTCTCCTTCCCTGAATGATCCCAGCATTTCTATGACTTTTGTATCACACCTACCATCTGCTCTTCATCTTTATGTCAGGAAGACCGTCTTTTTTCCAAAACGAACCATTTTTCCATATTCAAACACTATCATTTTTTTTATTTTCAGTTTTTATAATATCAATTACAAATAATTATTAAAAAAGGATTTTTTAGTGGTTATTGCAGATCGTGTTTATTTTCGCATCATTTAATTAGATAGAATTATATAAACAAAAGAAGTTATATTGGTAGATGTTCAAGAAATAAGTACTATTCAAGGTAACACAAAGTATTTTTAAATAATCAAGGAAAGCTCGGGACAAAATTTTCAAATATAATAATTATTTTTGATACTACTTCAATATTACCACAATTACCGCTCCTATTTTAAGATTAATATTCCGAAGAATAATTGTAATACTCTGCGTACAATTATCTTATATGATGAATTGATGGAATTTTTTTTTTCATTGATTATATATATCGTATTGATTAAAAGATTAATACACATGAGACAATTGTAATGCAACTTCAAAAATAACCTCTAAATGTAAATTTATTTCATTAAAAATTCTTGTTCAGATTCTACGAAAAAAGAACAGTATTGATAAACTCAATATATTGATGTTTAATTCTAAGAAGAATATTAATTTTATGTATGCAGAAGTCAATAAAATTAAATTTACCTTCTCCAACATTTTCATTTCATTAAACATTGTTAATGAGTGTGAACGAGATGATCTCTCGATACTATAATGTGCAATTTATGTTTATTTATATAAAGATAATGAACTCATTATGTTACAAACTATAATGGGAAGTCACTAACGGACTAACCTAATTCAATTATGAAATTTGAAATTTGAATTTGATAAAATTTATTTAGTTCAGAAAAAACTAAATGGGTAGAATTCGCTTATAGGTTATAATGAAAATCACATAATCACGACCAATTAAAAATCTCTTATCGATTATGGTTTCCAAAGTTAAACTCACCAAATATAACCATTTATATTCTACAATATAAAAACGGCTATAGTGGAAAAATAAATTTCCGATTAAAATTTTGTAACGTTTTACGGTGACTACCAAGGTAACAAAGGTGCAATACAAAGACATAGTACAAAGATACGGTACAAAAAGTGGTAGGTAGCAAGTGCGTAACGTAGATTAACTAAAATGAGTACACGTAACATTACTAATTTTCGTTATCTCTGTACACTAATATTTCTCTGTACACTATTATAAAGCACGAAACACAAAGTTAATTATATTGCTTTACGTTACTTCCTTTTATATAAAGCACGTTTTTTATTTATTTTTATGACTAATAGAACTCATACACAGTTACAAACTACATATATTATACATTAAATATACAGTACTATACGTAGAATTTAAAAAACTGATGTAAGGCCACTGAATACAAGACCGTCTACTATTAAAAAAAACGCACAATTAGAACCATAAAAGTAATAACAAGAAACTAAACTAGCGCATATTTAAAGGATAAAAGGAAGAAAAAGGAAATAAATCTATAATATTTGAAAATTAAAGTTTGTCTTTTGATTGTCAGTATCAGAATGTAGAAAGTTGCTTATAATTCATCGTATGTTGACTTCTACATCCAAAAGTTCTTTGTTGATGGTTTTATCATAAGTGAGTGTACGTATCGTTGATGAGAGGAGTTGCATTTCCGCTTGGACGAAGAGGTCGAAGTTGGAGGATCGGCAGATATGTGATGGTATCGTCATTTTTTCCTTTTTGACACTTCGAATTGTTTACGTTGTCTCTGTGTCTAATCCAAGGCAGGTCGTACAAGTTTGTTAAAAAAAAAATTTAATAATAGAAGTAACTCGGTAAAACTCGATAGGTTAAAAATCATACCGCTGTATTCGGATCAGTGCTCCAAATCTACCGATATAATTTTACCTTATTCTGAGTTTTTACCGGGTATTGCCGAATGTCCGAGTGTCTCTCGCCATGTGATTTTGTGTCTGTAAAAGTGGATTTTTTTTTTATCTATAAACATAAATAGTTCTGTAATTAGGATAGTTCACTAGGATATAATTGTGAATAATTAAAGAGACTGGATCAAAACTGGAATGGTATTGATATCAGGTGGATAACAAAAATTATTTTGCATAGTAGGAATGACACCTTGTATAGATCACGTGATCAGATGACAAAACTTTCAGTTAGCAGTATATTATGCTATTCAAATATTATTAATATGAAAATTCCAAACGCATATAATACTTATCTAATTTATTTATTATTAATATTGCATATTTTTTCTGCGTATGTATAGGTATGAACGGCATTGAACGGGCGAAACCTTCGGAGTTAGGCGTATTAAATTATTGGCTAATTTTGGTCTAAATAAATAAGGCATGTAAACAGCAAATATATATTTAAAATAATTATTCATGCGGCAATTGTGCATAATACAAAATGCAAGCCACATTTAATTAAGGAATTTGGCGTTATAATGAGGTTATCCCCAAAAAAAAAATTTTGACCTGGTTTTGGAATCGGACTGGTAGATCCAACTCGAGGTTCTATTAGCCTATTAATAGTGAAAGAATTATTCAAAAAATAGTAATCTACTGATCATCATCACATGAAATTAGGATCGGATAGTCGGAGGGTTGGATGATGTATGATGTTATATGATGAATTGTCACCTGCGCCACACCCGAAAACTCGAATTTTTTTTGGTGAGTGATATACCAATCAAGATGATGATGTTCACTGGTTAATTCTGAAAATAGTGCATCTAAATACAAATATTCATTATATTTTCATAAGTTGTAGAAAGAAACAATTTATTGAGTGAAACGTACTACTTTCCGGGAATTGTAGAATTTGAACAGTATTATGAGTTTATGACTATTTATCTAGTTTACATCTCAAGAAAAATTTGGTTTGATATATAAAATAAGTGTTAATTTAAAATAATGTCGTGAGACAGAATTTTTTATATCGTTTGTATTTTACAAATTTTAATATTGTTGTATACAGTCCGTCTGATTGGTCTGTCTACCGTTCTTTAAAATTTTTTTTTTAAAAAAAAATTCTTGCATCATTATTTTTACTATTTTACGCTCAGAAAATTAACGATAATAAAATGAAAACTAAAAAATGTTATTAAAATTTAGCGTGACGTTCAATAACCAATGAATTTATTGCTTTTATTAATAAAATTTATTGTCGAAATTGTTGAAATCAAACATATTTAAGGTTGAAAAAATAGAAATAACTTTTTTTCATAGAAATAGGCTTTTTTTAATAATTTGTTAGATATTATTTAGGGAAATTATTGTTTTTTTTTCAAGAATATAATAACTACGGTAGTATTTCGATAGCATTACCCGTACTATATCTGCGTATCATAATATAAGTCACGCCTTTGTAAATTATTTTGTGTATTTTGTGTATATACAGTACTGTGAACAAAAATTTTAATATTGAGAGAAGAAAGAGTTAGGATTTTTTTTATTTAATCGAATTTGCACGAGATTCAATTAAGGCAACTTTTTCGCTCGCATAAAAATCTAAGATTGAAAATTCATTATATTTATATCAGCGAAAATATGAAAATATGGATTTTTATACAATTTTATGCACTGTAGAAATTTTCACAAGAAAAAAAATAAAATAAAATAAACATAAATTTGATATAAAAAAAATTATTTTCTAAATAAAATAAGAATTATTTAAATTACAAACTAAGAAACATTACAATAAAATTGTTACTCTAGTCTTAGTGTTTAAATAATTCTAACGGATGTAACGAATGCTTATATATATATAAACTAATGAAATTTAATATATTGTTTACTTTAAAATTAGTTTTTTGTCAAATTTTTCATCTAATATTAAATATTAATAATAAAATGATATATAAATAATAATTTTTAAAATGCTAAAATTAAAAAAAAAAAACCAAAAATTGTTATTTAAGATACTTTACCATTATCGTATTCTTGTTTCTGAAACTGACCCTTATTATCATTTTTATCATTTTTATCAAACTTCTTATCTAAAAAAAAATTAATTTAATTTAAAATACTAGGATTTAAAAATAATAAAAAATTGATTCAATATATCTTCATATATTATTAACTCAACCTTTTTTATCTAGATTAGATTTTACAAATTTAGATATTTTATTGATAGACCCTAATTAAAATAAATAGATTTTTTGTTATTTTTTTATTAAAAATAAAATTTTTAAATACAACAATTTTTCTTTTACACTGACCTTTAACAGTGCCAACAAAGTTCTTTTTATTTTTTGATTTCTTTTCTTCATCTAATTCAATAATAATATCACAAGTTCATAATTAATCATTAAGTATTTAATTATTGGGAAATATCACAAATACTTACCTTCTGGAACTTTGAAATAATTTTCATTTGTTTGGTTTTCATATATTTGATTATCATTTGTTTGAATTTCATTTGTTTGAATTTCATTGGTTTGAATTTCATTGGTATTTCCATTTGTTTGAATTTCATTGGTTTGAATTTTATTGGTTTGAATTTCATTGGTATTTCCATTTGTTTGAATTTCATTGGTTTGATTTTCACTTCCAATATCTAGTAAAACAAGCAAAATATAATCATATAAATTATATAAATTTAACAATTTTAATTTTGCATTAATAAATCGACTTACCATTATTAGATTCTACCTGTTCTTTTTCTTCCATATTTGAATTGAAATCACTTGTACCTAAAGTTTGATAAAAAAAAAAAAGTATTATTAAAAATTTTTTTAAATTTATTTGTTAAATTAATTTTTTTACCTTTATTATATAATTCGCTCATATCATCAACTAATGATTAAAATACAATAAATTATTAGAAAATTTAAATTTCACAAAAAAAGTATTTTTAAAAATTAACTTTGGAATATACTTTACTTTCAGGAATTTCTAATTCATCCTGATCTTCTGAATGAAGATTTGGATTATTATATATGTTTCCTTCATCATCTTAAAATATGACATACAAAATTATTACAAATTATTACAAATTCGAATTTTTTTTAAATTAGATAAATAATTATTTAATAAAAATAAATACCTTCTTGTTCATCTAATCATTTTTATTAATTAAATATTAGTAAAAGTAAAAAAATCAAATGACAAACTTGTTGATGAAATAATGATTAAAATTTTTACCTTCTGTTGCATTTTTTGGTTCTGGTAAATTTTTAAAGATATAAATTTTACTAGTATTCCCTATTTGATTATCTTTCAAATCCTTATTAGATTGATTTATAATTGATGGATTTTGACTTTTTAATTCTTGATTAATAGCTTTTTGATTATCATTCTTATACATCGCTTTTAATTCCTCTATTTTACTTTTAAGAGTATTACCATCAGGTCTGTTTGATGGATCAGCATCCCAACATTGTTGCATTAATTTTTTATATTCTAATGGAGTTTCAGGTACGATTTTTGGTCTTATTCCATTAATTATTTTCATAGTAACATCAAAGTCATGTTCATAATTATTAAATGGAGGTTGGCCAGATGAAATTTCCCACATTAACATTGCAATACTATAAATATCCGATTCAACGGTATAATCCTTCCCAGCAATAACTTCTGGTGCTATATAAGGAAGATTACCGTATATACTCTCTACTGGTTTGTTTACAGGACCACGAAGTGCTATATCACCAATATACCAAGAATTATAATATTCCTTATATAATATGTTTCCAGAATGCAAGTCACCATGAATTGTATTTTCTTTATGAATTATAGATAGTGCATATATTATTATATAAACTATGTTGATTCTTTCTCTCCAAGTGAGTTGATTATGATATTTTTGTAAATATTTTCTTAAATCTATATCCATTTGTTTCATTACTAACATATAATTTTCAGTTAATGGATCTTGAGTTATACCAAAACACTTTACCAAATTTCTCCATTTACTACTCATACTTAAAAGTAATGTAGCCTAAAATAAAAAGTGTTATAAATAGTAATCAACAATTAATTAACATTTATAAAAATTAAAAAAACGTACCTCTTCAAAAAAATAACTTTGTTCAACACTTTTAAAATTATTTGATTTTTTAAGTATGACATCACGAGTTCCATATCTCCGTAATTCTTGTTTTTCAGAATCCCATTTATTATAACTTCCACCAATCCATTTAGCAGTAAAGATCTCAGAATATCTACTATTAGTTAAATATTTAATATTTTGAAAATGATCGTATGGTATCCATTCAATTATTCTATTTGGAGTGATCGATTCCATTTGACATTTCCGTATTAAATTATCAATTTTATCACTTCCAGATGTCCACTTTGAAAAATTTGATCTTAAAAATTTTCGAAAACAATATTCACAATATAATTTTCCTAAACATTCATTTTGACATTTTTCACAAATTCTTTTTGTTCCTTCAATATAACCATTATTATCCTTATAATTTATTATTGCCTCGGATTTTTTCTCATCTAAATTAATAATCCGATTTTTCTCTGAATGGTCCATAATTTTTATAAATTATTTAATAATATTTTTTTTTTCGAAAAAGTGACTTTAACGAAGTATAAAGGTAAAAAAAAAAAAAATTTTTTTTTTATTGTCGTATATATTCATATATTCTCCGCAAAGGTTTCACAAAATTCATATTTGTGGCTTTGTATAACCAGATTTGTCTATGGTTGTAGTGTAACTTGCACAAATAAATATAAATCAGTCAATCATGCAGTTATATTAGTATATATTCTATCGATCGCCCGTCACCACTTCGGATGTGTCACTTCCGGAATTCTATAACATAAAAGGTATTTAAGGGGAAGATCTATATATAGAAAATAAAGTACTTTTTTTAAGAATAATATTAATTTATATAAATAATTATAAATTTAAAATAATATTAATTATTCATATGTACAATAGTAAAAAAGTACTAAAATTAATAAGGGTTAAAGGGTTATAAAAAAATTTAATTTTGATGTACAAGTTAATCGAAACTTGAACAAATTAAGTAATAACCCAAATTTTTTCGGAATATAATTTGGAATAATAATTTTTTTCCTTGGGCGGAAGGTAACCGACTAACCGGAATTGGTAATTTTTAATTGTGAAATTTTATAATCAAACATAAAAAAACAAAAAAAAAAATATATATTTTGTTCTTTCTATTAGTTTCTATACCTTACGAAATTTATAAAAAAAATGGATTACAAATCAACGAACATTCTTTGTCTTTAATGATTTTGCGTGGAAAAGTAACATATTTTTTTTATATAATGAATGATTAGTACATATTTATGAATTATTTTTGCGTAGCAAGTACATATTCTCCGTATATTCTCCGTTAAAAAAAATTTTTTTTTTTTTCTCTTCATATAGAACATAATAATATAAAAAAAAATTATTATTGATAGTCTCGTTTATGAGGATTTTTTTTATTCAGTTCTTTCTTTATATATATAAAAATTATTAATGAATTATTTTGTATTAAAATAAATTTGTCTATTTATTGATAATAATTCGTTTTTATAATTTTTAATGAGCCAAACAAATAAACCCATATGAAAAATGTATAAAATATTATTTGTTTCCTTAATTAATTAATAAATACAGCATAAAAGTATTTTTCTAAAAAAAAAAAAATTCTTTTTCTTGATTTTTATGGAAAATAAAAAAAAAAAAAGAATAGATGACTTAAAAAAAAGAAAGGAGTTAATTCAACAATGTCAATGTCACAAATTCGAATTATACTCCACGATTAATCCGATTAATCAATTTACCACGGACGTCCCAGTCATCTCACGCTTCTTTACCTACTTGTTCGATTGATATGGAAATGTTTCAAAATTACTTTTATGAAACTCTATATCGGAATATTTTTTTTTATAAATTCAACGCTGAATTGCTTCTATCTCAAGTATGCATTTTGAGGTTGGCCTTCAATAATGCAACTTCTCTGATATTTAATACCATTACAATTATTTAAAATATAAAATGCCCGTCTCTCTGAAATGATAACTATTAACTATCATGTTTAAATCAATTTATAACGGATAGTCATATTTGTAATACTTTTTATTTATAATTCCGTGACATAATTTTTTAGAAAAAGATGTAAAAATGCTTTTGTCACAATAAACATACACAAAGTATCTCGCTCATAAATCTTTGAGGACGGATAGCAAATCAGCTATAACTACAACGTTTACGGATTAGAGATGGTGAACATTATACCAAATGATCAACCTCAGCACAATAAAACATTATTAAACACTGGGAAAAAAATTTCACAATATAACTCCTTGAAAATATTATTAAAAACTAAAGATAGTAATAATTATATTACAAATATTAAAATTATTGAATATAGTGCACAAAAAATCAACTCAACCTCACCCCTAAAGCGGCAAAGCGGATCGAAAGACTATAGAAAATTTGACATATTTAAGCACTATTTTAACAAATTACCAAGTGCGAACCTATCAATCAATCCATATAGTACTTGGAAGTTTAATAATTATAATTTATCAAAATTAAATTATTAATTCATAATATCTTCATATAATATTAAGATAACTTTATATAATTATTAAGACAGCTTTTATTTCTTTATAATTGGATCATACAAATGACTTATTTTGTAGAACTTCCAGTATGCAGGAAGCAAGATAATTTTCTTAAGCCAAAAATTTCATTCATTCTTAAAATATTTTTTATTATGGATTTAACAACAAAATTGTATTAATGCAAAAAAGAAATACAGTATAAGGCACACAATAAAAAATGCAGTCTTGACTCTTGAGGATATATTATATAAAATCATATGATACCAAGCATTGCAAGATCAAATTTTAATACATAAAAATATTTATTCAAAACCTTTTAATCAAAAAAAAAAAGAAAAAACAAATAATTCATTTCTTATTTAACAAATATTGATTATTATGTTTACCAAAGCATTAATTTCTAAAGATAGATCTAAAAGCAAAAATCAATGTTAATTTCCAAAGATAGTTCTAAACATGAAAAATAATTAAAAATTCGCCAAATATTGCAAATATAGAAATTGAACATTGCTTAATTCATAAATAATTTTGAAAATTAGAAGAGAAATTAATTTATTAACTACATAGAATTCAAAATTACTAATGTGTATAATGCAAATTTATTAATCATTATAGCCATTGGCTAATAAACTGAATGATATTACTTTTTAGCACCATATTTTATATAGAAAATTAAATTTTTATATTTTATATAATCTGACTAAGAAGATTCAAAGCTATGGTCGTTTATTTTTGATCTAATATGACTGAAATGGAAACTGCCATGATTACTTCCTTAATATTTTGGACTTTGGCTTATTCTTTTACAGGAAATAGTCAATGAGTGTAGCTATGGCATGTGAAAAACAGAAAGTGGACGTAAAAAATATATCAATTTTCTGGTCATTAATTACCAAAAAGATATATAATAATTCTTTATTGAAATTGGCTTACAAAGATTTAAAAAAGATTCAGCAACTTCAATAAGCACACTATCATTATTTGAAAATGCAAGTTTCATTTTTAATTAAAGAAAATAGTGATACTATCTATACTTTTATACCATTTTAACTATTATTTTTTAAGTAACATTACATTCTCAATCAAATCAAACTTTACTATAATTTTATAATATTTTGTATAGAAAAGGAATTGGGGCACTTTTTCGCTTCATTGTAATATATGATCATCAAGTATCTATATGATAAATTTAGGATGAAAAACAACAACAGATACCTTCAGCCTTATAATACCCACAATGCATTATATGATGGACTTCGATTCCCACTACAGTATTCTCACGGTCCATTTTTCCACCCGATGTTGGTGACAAAAATTAGAACTTCAAATAGTATTTGTTAGTTTAGATTTAATATGAAATGGTAATTTTGGTTGCCTATTGTGAAATTAAGCCAATTTAACTAATATGATGGAAAAGAACAAACATAAAAAATAATATTAAGTAAAACATTAAAATCATATACAGTATAAACAAAATTTACTGGATTTGAAAATTTAGCCCAAGAAATTGATAATGGCAGTATTTATAGATATCCTATATTAGGTATATTTCTAATTTGATTTACTTTTAGTAAGACCCCAATCCATGATCAAAAAACGAGTTGAATTAAATGATAGAGACTGGTAATTATTTGACCTTAATTATGATACTTCGTATATATTGCTGATTCATTAAATTTATATTTACATTTTTTTTAAATTATTTTAGACAGGTACAAACTAACTTATAAACGACAACAAATGGACACATAATGACCATCCAAATTTTGCCCCAAACAAAAGACAGTGTGTAAAAACAAATGGAAAGCACTTAAATCTGGATATGAAAATTTAAAAAGATTATACTAGATAATTAATGTTTGGCTATTTATAATTAATGTTGGCTAAATTTTATTAATTTCAATTAAATTGCTATTTTATGCCAAATTCTTTTCTAATTCCATGCATAGAATTTTGAAATATTATTTTCTTTTAAAAATTTATTTTAATTATATTTTTTTTTCATCATACCATAATGATAAGATTAACTTATAATCTCAATCTCAAATTCTTAGTCATGGAATTTTTTTATTGTGAGATAATATTCAAATAAAAAAACAACAGGAATTTTTTAGTGATAGATAATATTCAAATAACAAAAATACAGGCATTTATAATTGCGAGATAATATTCAAATAACAAAGATTTTTTTCTTTTTCAAAGAAATTAAATAAAACTTTATGTAATATTACAAGTGTTGGTACAATATTGTAATTTAGAATTTTAAATCATAAAATTAATAATTTAATAATTTCTAAAAGAACAATAGCTAGAGAAAATATAACTTCCTTCTGATATAATGTCTACTTACAAACAAAATGTATAATTAATTATATTGTATATTGTATATATATAATCAATTCTTTAATATTCAAAATTTATTGTAAGGTTTAATTTTATTCACATTGATTTTGGTATATATATATTTTTTAAGACTAAAGATACTTCTTGGTACTCAACCCATCAAATTTTATGTTCATTGCAGTTAACTTTCTTAATTGTACTTCAATTTAAATTACAAATAAAAACCCTTTCCAGTTAAATAATACTTTACCAATGTAATAGTTGCATGAATAGCTGGTATGATTGCGAAAAGTAATGAAAATTCCTAAATTAATATACAAGTATACAAGTATGATGACAAATAAAATAAAAAATCAAACATAGTGTCTTAACCATACATTTATATGATATAAACATTTGCATTATATACTAGCCATATTCAGTATAAGTTCATATCTTATATTAGAGAATTTTTATTTTAATCGCACCTGCAGCACTTTTACTGTTACTGTTTCTGGTTCGTTATTACTTATTACCGGTAATGATCTATAAATTTTATCAAAGCTAAGATCTTGACAGAACATTTGAATAACTTAAAATTTTTACCCATTTTAGGAAAATAAATTGAAAGAATCAATTAAAAGATGTAAAATGAGAATGCCAAATTTATTTATTCTCATTATATGAACATTTAATGATTATATGTGGATTACTTAAGTTT